AACCCTGTATCTAGTAATTTGCTTGCTTTTATTTCATTTAGTTTTTTTTCTGGAGATTTCTTCTGTTTTTCATTTGTGACATGTTTCTTTGTCTCAGCATTTTTGGTGCTTCCCTGTGTTTGTTTCTATGTATTAGGTAGATCTCTTATGTCTCCTGGAATTGGTAGAATGGCCTTGTGTAGTAGGTGTCCTATAGGGCCCAGTGGCTTAGCCTCTCCAGTCACCAGAGCTGGGCACTGTAGGTATGTATGTCCCTGTGTGGGCTGTGTGCACCACCTTGTTATAGTTGAGTCTGGATTGCTGTTGGCGTCACTGGGAGGAATTAACCTCTAGGCCAAGTGGCTGTGAGGACCACCTGTGTCTACAGTGGAAGAGCTGCTATTCAGGTGACACCCCTATGGAGCAGGACTTGCTTCAGTGGGGCTTTGGTGCTCATTGAGTCTGCCCCTGGAGTGTGTCACTTGTGGATGTATAGAGCTGTAACCTGGTATGGCCTGAAGCTGTGCACCGGCTCTGGGGCCTCCTGGGAGGTGCAAAGTCAGCCACTGCCTGGGGCCACCCCTTAGGAGCTACAGAGGGATCTGCAGATGCTGCTACTTGAATTGGGCTTGGAAGTGCCCAAGTGAGGCCCAGCTGTGAAGCAAAGCAGGCTGGGCCTCTTATTGATAGGTTTGGGGCATGCTGACACCAGCTGCAGCTTGTTTGAGAGGTTTTAGGGAAGTCTGAAGCCTGAGCCAGGACAGGCCATTCATATGGAAAATTGGATGAGGTAGGGTCTCCAGGGCAGAGGGAACAGTGTGGGCCATGCTGATGGAAACTCAGATATGGCTGCCAGTCAGTTCTGTGTGGGGGAGGTCTCAGCATAGGAACAATGACCCCTGTGAGCACCCCCCTGTCTGGGAGAAAGCCACCCCCCGAGTTTCTGCTCCGATGCCAGACAATTTCGTTCCTCCCCCTATGTCCCTGGATTCAGAGGGATTGAGTCCGAGTAAGTCCATGTGCCAGCCCTTTAAGAGATACTGCTGGGAACCCAGCAGCCTCCGTGTCACTCAGCCACAGTCCCTGCTAGTTTTTACAGCTCGAAGTTATGGGGACTTCTCTTCCCAGCTCTGGAACCCTGGGCTGGGGGTCTGGTGTGGGACTGGGACCCCTTGCTCCTCACGGGAGGCCTCTGCAGCCTAGATATCCCTCCCGATGTAAAAAACACCACGTGAGTGTCGGACCAGCCCATTCCGCGCCTCCACCCCTCCCACCAGTCTCCATGTGCTTTCTTCTTTACTTCCCTAGTTGTAGGACTTCCGTTCAGCCGGGTTTCAGGCGGTTCTGAATGATGGTGGTTCTGCATTTTAGCTGTAATTTTGATGTCGTTGTGGGAGGCGGCGAGTACCAGCGTTTACCTACACCACCATCTTGGCTCTTATCCGGATTTCCCCTTTGTTTAAATGTGAATGACAATCCTGAAGGCCAAGCTTCCCAGCGAATGGAAGCAGGATTCACTGGTTCTCAACCGGGGCGATCTTGTCCCCCCAGGGGACAACTTGGCAATGTCTGGGGACACGTTTGGTTGTCAGGACTTGGGAAAGGAGGTGCTCCTGGCATCTAGTGGGTGCTGCTCATCATCCCACAGTGCACAGGGCCGCCCCACAGTCACTGACCCCACAATCACACGTGGGGGTGGACAGTGCTGACTGAGGCCCAGGAGCCCTGTCCTGACTCCCTTGTGTCTTAGCGCAAGTGGCTATCCTCCTATATAATAAAGAGGTGATATGCAAATTGATCCTCACACCATAACACCGTCACAAGATGGCGGCACACACAGCGGGGGCAGGGCCAGCGGCCGCTCCTCGCGGCTTCCACCGGGGTTTCCACAGCCCCGCATGCACGCCGCAGGGGCAGGGCCTGGTGGCCACTCCGCGCGGCCCGGAGGCGGGGCATTAGGGCGGCACTCCAGGACTTGGGGCCGTCCCGCGGCGCGCCGGCCACACGGGGCAGGGCTCCGGGACTCAGGGTGATCCCATGGCGCAGGGTGGGGGATGGGGAGCGGGGGGGGGGTCCCAGGTTTTGTGCGACTTCGCACGACAGGTCACTAGTAACAAAATAACAGCGACTGGGGGGCTTAAACAGCAGGAATTTATTTTCTCACATTTCTGGAGCCTGAAGGTCCAAGAGCAAGGTGCAGCCAGGCAGTTTCTCCTGAGGCCTCTCTCCTCGGCGTGCAGATGGCCAGCCACCTGCGTGCTGTGCCCCTCCATGGCCTTTCCTCGGTGTGTGCACACCCCCAGGTCCCTCCCTCTTATAGGACACCAGTCCTCTTAGGACCTCATGTAACTTTATGTCCTTAAAGGCCCCATCTCCAAACACATTCACATAGGGGCTGAGGGCTGCAGCATGGATGTTGGAGGGACACAGTTCCATCCCTATAGCAGGCGTCTTCTCTCTCTCCTCTAGAAACAGGAGCTCTCTACAGTCAGGAGAGGGTGACTTCTAACAGGAAATGGCACCTTCTCTTCTTTACCTTCCCATGTGTCTGCGAAGGAGCCATGGAGACCCCGGACACCTCACTTAGCTAGAGACAGGAGACATAGCCACGAATTCCACCTGTTTCCCAGGAGGGAAGAAACACTGCCGTAGGGTGCTGGTGCTGAGGCTCTTGAGAGTCCAGCCACAGGGGATTGTCCCACGTTTCTCCCACAATAGTCCTGACGTCCCAACTGCTGTAGGGACACATATTAGCTTCACACCACCCCCTGCGGCCCCACCCCAGTGACCACAGCCCCCTCCCTGCAGCACCCATGGTAAAGAAAGACCAGACCGTGGAGCAGGCCCTCTAGTGGGTGAGAGATGAAACAACAACTTGACACAATAAATACAAAGAAAGAAAAAGACAGAGAAGGTGATGGGGGCATGTCTTAAGTAGGAGGGTGGCTAGAAAGCTTCCCTGGTAAAGGGTTTGAGCAGGGGCCGGAAGGAAGAAGGGGGCCATGTAGAGAGAATAGTCCTGGCAGAAGACACAGCCCGAGCAGAGGCCCTGAAGGAGACTGCTCCTGGCATGTTGGAGGGATAGTGAGAAGGTCGATGTGGTTGAAACAGTGAGCGAAGGCGGATTGTGTAGGACCCTGTGAACTTGGACCATCACCCTGACGGAGGTAGAGCGGCGGAGGGCTCTGAGCAGAGGAGCCACCTGCTGACTCAGGTGCTCAGGGTGCCGTTCGGCGGCTGTAGGAGGGAGAGGAAGACCTGGGCAGAGGCGAGGGCGCTGGTCCAGGCAGCTCCTCTTCCCATCACCTCCAGAGTCACGTGGGCGAAGATGAGTGGAAGTTCCGGAGAATGCCTGGCAGATGTCTGTGCTCTGACCCACACCTGCTGAGAGGGAGAAGCTGGGCCAGGTGTCAGAGGCAGTGCTAGGAAAAGGAGGCGTGGGGAAGGCTGGGAGCGGGGAGGCCCACGGGGAGTGCAGGCAAAGCGGAGTGTGAGCTCTGCCCGCACAGGGCAGCTGTTCAGCCTGGATGGTTGTTAAAACACTGAAGTGCTTTTCTGATGACCGGGAGCCGGCCCCTGCCCTTCCCCCAGATCTCCTAGACCTCCTCCCACAGTCCAGCAGCTACAAAGTGAAAGTTTGGCCAGAACAGAGGGGGAGGGAAGGAGGAGGTACAGGTGCATAAAGGGGCCCCGTCCACAGTGAGCAGGGGCCTTGGGACCCATGCTCCAGCTCTGCTATCAGTGTCCCTTTCATGCCTGCCAGTAAGTGTTTGGAACACGCCCCTGTGACCTCTTGTTGATGTGTGCCCTCTGGTGGCCGTGGGGAGTAAGGGCGGAGCGGGGAGACCTGAGAGGAGGATACTGCCCTGGTTAAGGTGGGAGGTTGTGGGGCCCAGAAAGTGTTCAGGGTTGAAGGCTCTGAAAGGGAAGTAGGAGCAGAGGCCAAGCTGGTGTATTATTCAGGATGGACAAGAATGTGCTGCCGTAACAAACAGCCCCGCAGTCTCACACCGACACAGGTTTGCTTCCCACTCCCATTCGTGGGTCTTTCCTGGCTTGGCAAGGGAACTCTGTTCATCAGTCACTTAGGGGCCAGGCCTGAGAAAGCCACTGTCCCTCATGTCACCAGCCATCGTGACAGAACAAAAGAGAACCCAGACGGGTCATTCACTGGCCATTAAATGCCCAAAGTGACACCTCACTCGGCTCACACCTCATTGGCAAGAACTCATCACATGGCCCCAGCCAATCACGGGGTCCAGTACGGGCCACACTACCATGTACTCAGGCAGGAACTGCTGGGAGCAGGGATCGCTGACAGAGCCTTAATGACCACCTGGCAGGGGAGAGGAGCTTGGTTGAGGGAGAAACCTCTATCAGAGCTGCTCTGTGGCTTCGCAGCCTCCCTGGGGCTTCCCCAGGCCTCGCCACAGACCGATGCTGCTGTGGTAACAGTCCTATGGCCCACACTGTCCTAAGGCTGCACGCATATTAACTACTTTAATCATCAGACAACTCAGTGAGGCCCTGGCCACTGTGCCTCAGTTGGTGGGCATTGTCCCAGGCACCAGAAGGTTGCCAGTTCGATTCAAGGGTAGGGCACATGCCTGGGTTATAGGTTCAACCTCCCATGGGGTGCAGGGTTGCAGGAGGCAGCCAATCAATGTTACTCCCTCACATTAATGTTTCTCCCTCTCTCTCTCTCTCTCTCTCTCTCTCTCTCTCTCTAAAAATCAAGGATAATATTATTTTTAAACTCAGTGAGGCAGGAACAATTGCTATCATCCCCATTTCGCAAATGGGGAGAATGAGGCACAGAGCAGCGGACTAACACCTAATGCAGTTGGAGTCAGGTTTTGACCGGGGCCACCCAGCCCCTGTCGATGCTGAACTATCCCCCCACGCAGCTTCTCCACAGCCCTGACCCTGCCAAGGACCAGAGCCCCATGGTCATGTCCCCCTGGGCCCGCTGCACTGGGCACTGGGACCCGTGGGAGCCAGGACTCCAGAGCACTGGGTAGGCAGGAGCTGCTGGCTCGGTGACGGGCCTCGAGGCCAGCAGGTGCTCAGGCAGGCAGGCGACCAGGCCTCTCTGTGCCCGCATTGCAGGAGGGGCCGACAAACAGCAGATGGACGCCGAGCTACGGAAAGAGATGATGGCCATCTGGCCCAACCTGTCCCAGAAAACACTGGACCTGCTGGTTACGCCTCATAAGTGTAAGAGCCCAGACCGGCCTGGCCCCGGGCCCAACCCAACAGGACAGGGGGGAGGGAAGGAGGAGGCACGGAGGACGGGTGCATCAGGGGCCCCGTCCGCAGTGAGCTTGCTCTGTGCCCCCAGCCACGGACCTGACAGTGGGGAAGATCTACGCGGCCATGATGATCATGGAGTACTACCGGCAGAGCAAAGCCAAGAAGCTGCAGGCCATGCGTGAGGAGCAGGTATGGCTCAGGCCCTGACAGCTCTCCCCGCGGACATTCCTCCCTCTGGGGTCACCCAGGCTGGGAGACTGTACCTTCCTTGTCACCATGAGGACCGTCCAGAACAGTGGGGTGTAGCCACGCCCCAGGGCAGGTCATTGGAAAGTAAGGCATAACCTGGGTTAATTCATCTGCTCCACCAACACTTACTGGGCGCCTCCCGTTGTCAGGCACTGTTCTCAGCCCTAAGGGTGCAGCTGTGAGCAAAACAGACCAGAAGCCCTGTTGTGGAAATGCCAATAACGACAAAATGACTAAATGAGATCGCGTAGCAGAACATAAGCACCGTGGGAAAGAGTGCCTGGGGGAGAGGGGTACAACTTTAAATGGGTGGTCAGGGGAGGCCTCCCTGAGGAGGTGACTTCTGAGCAAAGACTTCAAGGAAGAGAAAAGAGAGTGAGCCACGCAGACACCTGGGGGAAGAACATTCTGGGCGGAGGGAACAGCCACTGCAAAGACCCTGAGGCAGGACTGTGAGTTTGAGTTTTGGAAACAGCAAGGTCTTAGGCGCAACAGAGCAAGCAAGAGGGGCAGCAGGAGGAGACAGGTGATAATTATGCAGGACCTTGGGGGCCGGGCGGACAACTTTGACTTTTGCTCTGAGTAAGGGGGCTCCTCCCGGGAAGTGACCTCTCACAGGGGTTGATGTGCACCCTCTGGTGGCCGTGGGGCGTAAGGGCTGGAGCGGGGAGACTGAGAGCAGGATACTGCACTGGTTAAGGTGGGAGATTATGGGGCTGGACCTGGGTGGTGGCCGTGGAGATGTAAGAAATGACCCCATTCTGGATGGATTTGGAAGAAAGAGGCTAGTAGGCTACTGATGGATCAGACCCTCCACAGCCTCCCTCACCCCCCACCTATCCCTAACACACACACGCACACGCACACGCACACACACTCTGCACACGCTGCTCTCTGCCTCCCCAGAACCGGACACCTCTCATGTTCCAGCGCATGGAGCCCCCGTCACCAACGCAGGAGGGGCAGAACGCCCTCCCCTCCACCCAGCTGGACCCCGGAGGAGGCCTGTAAGTGTCACTCTGGCTAGGAGAAGGGATGGAAGGGCAGGGAGTGCCCGTCCCAGGTACAGAAGCCCCTGGAGTGCCCACTGCCTGTGTCTCCCGTGCAGGATGGCTCATGAAAGTGGCATCAAGGAGAGCCCTTCCTGGGTGACCCAGCGAGCCCAGGAGATGTTCCAGAAGACGGGCACATGGAGCCCGGAGCGAGGGCCCCCTACCGACATGCCCAACAGCCAGCCCAACTCTCAGGTGCCTCTGTCCTCTCGCTGCCCCACTGCTCACGGCCTGGGCAGTCCAGGAGGGTGGGGCCCGGGCCTGCAGCTCCACGCACACCGGGCTGCCCCTGGGTACGTGTGCCCAGCCCCAGGGCTCACCCAGCCTTGCCATCTGCCCTGCAGTCTGTGGAGATGCGAGAGATGGGCCGAGATGGCTACTCAGACAGTGAGCGCTACCTCCCCACGGAAGGCCAGGCCCGGGCGGCCTCCATGCCCCGCCTCCCAGCAGAGAACCAGGTGAGCGCTTTCACCCACCCCCCTGAGGGGGGCCTGGGCCCCAGAGGCCCTGCCTCCTGAAGCCCAAGGCACCTCCTTCCTTCCGGGACGCAGGCCCCGTCCTCTGAGCTCCTCCTAATGGAGGGCAGAGAGAAAGGGGCTCCCCTGGGCAGGGTGCAGTAGCCACTGCCAAGTGGTTTGTCTCTGCCCTGTTTGGGGGTGCTGAGGCGGGAGGATGTGGAGGACACGTGGGGGTGTGGGAGGTGATGTGTGAGACTGCAATCAAGCATGCACACACGTGCACACAGGCATGCCCACACATGCACACATGCACATACACATATGTGTGTTTTCATACACATGCACTCGCTTGCACAAGTAGGTCTGCTTTCAGAAACCTGGCAGGTCCTAGGACGTGGTGGCAGAGTCTGGGGAAGGCCCGGGACAGCTTGGGTTCGTCCTGTCTGGTCTCCGTGGGGGCTGCGGGAAGGGGCAGGGCCGTGTGCCTGATGTGTGTCTGTGTGGCTGCTTACCAGCTGCAGGGCCCTGGGAAGGAGGAGGGTATGCGGGTCCCAATGCCCCGGGCCCATGGGGACTGAAGCCAGAAGCATGGCTGGCTGTCCACCGGGCCCAGGAGGTGGGGCAGCATGTCTGACCGCAGGGCTGCCGTGTGCTGTGCCGGCTCATCTGCACGGGGTGGAAGGCTGCGCTGTGCCTGGCAGGGCCGGGGTCTCCCAGGGGCCTGGCCTCTGGCTGTGGGCACCTGAGTGGGAAGCACCCAGACTGCATGTGGCTGCCCAGCCCTATCCTGCCAGCCTCTGCCCCCCAGGACTTAGCTGCTGGGCCCTGGGAGAGGGTTGAGACAAACCCAGCTGATGGCCACCTCCCCAAACCATCCCCCACCCCCAGCTTTGAGTGTCAGCCGGAGCCAGGGCTGGAGGCATTGCATGAGGCAGAGCCGGGGGCCAGGGGCCTGTGGCTACACCATCCCATCTGTCCATCTCTTGCCTCTGCCATCTGTCTGTCTGTGGTGTCTCCTGTCTGTCTCCTCTGTGCCCCTGGGGGGACTGCTGGCTGGGCCAGGGTTATCAGTTCCCAGGGCCTTTAACCCCTCTCTCCCTCCCTCCATTCTCCCCCTCACTCCTCAGGTCTATGCACCACCTCTCGCTCCCCCTCTTGGCTTTTATATTTATTTTCTTCTTTCTGTTTTTTCTGTGTGCACCATCCCGTGGGGCTGTGACAGAGGAGAAGGGGCCGGCCACGTGGGAATAACCTCAGTGTATGTACCGCCCGCCCGTCTGCCACCAGCTGGGCTCTGGCCCCCTCTTCCCGCCCACCCCCCCTCGGGGGAGTCCTGTCCTTTCGGACTCCATCCTTTCTTCGCAGACAACACCCCCTCCCTCCCTGTGGAGCCCTATCCTCCTGTGTTCTGTTCTCTGTGTGCCCATGTGCCCTGTGGGGTGGCCCTTCTTCACCCCTCTTCCCCTTCCCCTCCTCCACCCCTTTCTCTTCAGAGCCCCGCATTCCAAGAATCCTCAACGATGCCCCCACACCTGGCCCACTCTTTCATTTCCCTGCCCACCCCTGACCCTCTGGTCTTGCAGCCCTGTGTCCCTTAAAACCCCTGCCTCGGGCATGCCCCCAGCCACTCAGCTGGGCTGGACTCTAGGGGATGTCCCCCGGCTCCTCTTCCTCTCCTCTCCCAGCTGCAGAGAACCAAGGGTGGGGGACAGAGAGGGGGGGCTTAACCCCAGTGGGGGGTGCAGCACCCACAGGTTCCCAGCTGCAGGCTGAGGATGAGAAGGCAGGTCTCCCAGGACCTGAGTGTCAGGGCAGCCCCTCCGGTGGGCAGGAAAGCCCAGACCCCACTGGCCAAAGGGGTCAGTGATTGGGGTGCTGGGTGCCTGGCCCTGAACCTGTAGGACTCACAGCCTCCAAGAGAGCAGGCAGGGGTGAGCAGGGCATGCTGCCCAGTGCCCGGTTCCCAGGTTTGCACTCGGGGTGAGCACAGCTCTTCT